GTCCGCGTGAGAGAAGGAGTTTTTTCACCTTTTGTTCGTTCACAGTTACGCTTGACAGGTTGAGTGATAAAATGGGATTTCTTTTAACTGCTCACGTAGTTCTTGACGAGTCCCTATGTAATGCTTGGTCACCCGAAACAATCTCACTTTCTCCACTTCTTCAATCTTCTCATTGCTTTCTTAAACCTATTTTAATTTTTTCTTAACCTTTTCAAAAAGTGTGCAGATGTTGGTGTGAAGCCCCTTTTTACTCATAATACAATGAATAAAGGGAGTTTTTTCCGAAGCAGGAGGTGTCATTATGAAATCGAACCTGAGTTTAGCGGATGGTAATTGGCTCAAGGATAACTACAAGGGTCAGTTGCTAGCAGAATTGTCCCTTGGGATAATCCCTTGGCTCAGGCTTCCGTTTCCGTTACCTATGATTTTTGGAGTTCATTTCTACAAAATTCTACAAATTTCAAGCGCAATATGGTAGGCAAACTGTCGAAATTCCTAAATGACTTACAAAGCCCTTACCTTGAAGTCTGTAAGGTGGTGAAGTAGCAAGTGGCACATTCTCTCACACGCACCGTCGTCGGTTCGAATCCCTGGTCGATATCCGTCCGGTCCAATCAAGCCTTTCATTCCTCGGTGTCGGTTATTTGGTACCAGACTCGTCTGAGAGGATAGGCTGGTGCATCAGCTGGCTACGGCAACTCATTGTATAGGCAACATACCCATTCATTACGCCACTACGAGCTGAAAATAAGTTGAATGCGGGAGCGCATCCCACTGCGGGTTTGTCGCAATTAGAAGTGTTATTGTGACGGTTGATTAACAGCAAAAAATGAAGGGTTTAAGACCTAAACGAGTCAGCAGTAATGAGTTTCCGCGCATCTTTTTATTAATTTATCAATCTCTTTATTATTATAATCATTTTTCATTCAACTCTTGCCTGTTGTACATAACTAGGAGGCCATTATGGTTCAGTTGGGATACGTCCATGTCATCACGTGTTTTAGCAATTTCATTTCAGATGGAGTCGGTGCGAACGTTTTCTTCAACAGTTCATGAATTTTGGCGGGGTGTGGTCGAATGGCGAAGCCCCGCTTCTGGTCCTTACCTTATGCTTGTCAATATAGCATTCTGGTTAGTTCAGTTTCGACTATTGATACGTTGGTTACTGGTGGAGTTATGGGAATGATGGTGTTGCTTTGTTTGCCCTTGCTGCCACTGCATTCACGCCATAACATTTGAGGTCATAAAATCTTATCCTCATCAGTGGTGCCAAACGATGAGCATAAGGCTTCTAATGACCAGACGGACAGGCAGACTCGCAAACTAGTGTCCATCAGTGCGATTATAGCTCCAGCTCCCTAAATACAAGCTGATCTTCCTTTATTATAACGTTTCGTTATTTATTCCTGTTTCGCTCTCAAACGCGTCCGAGGGAAGTTTTATCCATGACTCCCAACGTTGTGAAGTTCACTTACAGTTTCATTTGTAATGAATCATTGATCATGGATTTTTTTTTTTGAATTTTCACAAAGCAATTTATGCCATGGACCAATAAGTCGTAATTGAAATAGTAATAATGTTAGGGTTGTTCGAGGAGTGTACTATTTTTTTTTTTGAAATCTTAAATCGTTTCTATAATCCTAATTGAAGATATCACCGAAGGACAGAGTTAGTTGTCAGATCTACTTCAGGTCAACTGCACTTTACTGCTCTGAATTTGTACAGCTTCGAATCCTGTTATCATTGGCAGCCGGTGTGGTTGGCTGGGATGTGCTGCTTTCACCTACACATGAACGAAGTATAGCTACTCATGTAGCTTTGTGGCCCGTGCAGAACATTTGGAGGGTGAGCGAAATATGAATTTCTCTGAATTTCGTACTTTTTTCCATTGAATTATTCGTTTCTCTTCTAAACTATCAGAAACCCCTCGGTATAGAAAATATTGGAGTCGTTTAATTCCTGTGTTCATGAATGTAAAAGTGGCGTTGGGGGGAGAGGGGCAAGCACCAATCCGAATACCTCATTGATTTTGTTTGAAGTTCGAACGAGCGGATCATTTTGAAGGTTTGGATCAATAATGAGCAATAAGCCGTTTATCTTGTTTAATTCAGTATCCTCTTTAAAATTTTTTCTGTGTGCTCATTGCTTGACACAACGAAAACGGTATTGCAGACGTTGTCGGTGTGTGGTTGTTTATACAGTTCTCATCAGCTACAAATGCAACAATTGGAAACGGCCTGCATAGCCGCCTACGCTACAGGTACGTCACGAAATACTTCCTTACTGGTCACGAACCATGGCTTTACTTTCATGATATTTTATAAGACTGGACTTTATAGTGGGCTGTCTTCTCGTCAATCCTGTATGGAATTACTATGAAGTTAATCAAAAAATCGTACATGGTTCCAAGTATTGCGGACGAAAAGCGGCGGATGCAGCAACGGTAAGTAAACTGAGTAACAGTGCGAGATTTCTTCTCTGGAGTAACTGTTCTGATATTATAGGTAGTGATTGTGCGCCCGCTGCAAGCAGTCTATCGTGCTTTAAAGTATGTAGTACTGTTACAATTTGTACCACGTAAGTTCAATACAGTTTTTTTTTTCATTTTCCCTTGCAACGATTTACTGGTTATGAAGTAGCGGCTACCTACCTACTTTTGCTCAGTTTGAGGATGGGTCCTTTTATGCCTATCGGAACATTTATATTTTTACCTTACATCCTTTGTAACTAGATTAGAAAGCTTTCCTCAACGCTGGCCGAATCGGCAGTGAGAAAGCTCCAGGCATCCTTGCGACTGTTGCGATGGAACTATAACTCAAGCCAAGTGCATGGCGCATCTCAATTTTGCGAGCGATTACTTTATTCTTCTTGTTTCATATCGTATAGCATTGATACAGCCGATTAATTGATTAATTGTGTTTGAACTGGCAGATAAATGCATGGAAATGGAGCGATGACTCCATGTTTGTTCATTTGTGAGGCCCAAACATCATGTAGCTCAGTGTAGCTGGCTATTTCTCTCTCTGTTCCGTCAATGTGGCGGCCTGTTAATTGTCGTGGCAATGAAGTTTTCAGGCCCCTCGCATACATTTTTTCACCATTGCGTTTGATCTTTGAAGGTGACGGGCCACTCGATTTCTTCCTAGAAATATTTCGAATTCACCAGTTTTTGTAATCTATGTATTTCATATAAGTTTATTTCTGGGTGTGGGCTACGTTGGTCTGACCTACGTGGGTGCCGTCCTTTACAATAATTAGCCGGGATAATCGGTCGACGCGAATCGACCCTCCTAAATCGGCTCTACCGTTGCGAACACTGTGTATGGTGTATTCGGATGTTGCCATTCGTTTATTTTCGTTCATATTCCATCATTTCCCGGTTGTTCGAATCGTCTGACCTTTTAAGAATGCTGATTGCCTGGTTCATTCTTTCAACAGGGTAACCTGAACCGTCAATTTCAGTTGATGTTGACTGGGAGCTTATAAAGTTTGAGCTCATATTCGACGACACCCGATTGAGGTTGCCCTCTTCGAAATTTTGGCACCCTCGATGTGGCATAGGTTTTCGGTATTATCCTCCGTGAAGTGATTGCTTCTTTTTTGGTCGTGAAAAGATCAGCTATGTTTGTGAGTAAGGCAGACGTGCAATGCCCATTTCCATTAAACTGTACCGTGCCATCCATTTTGCAGTAGGTACGGCTTAAGGCATTGGCCGATTTCGAAGTTAGTGATTTTATAGAAGATCTCAATAAGTTCATTGCCAAACAAGTCATGATGAATTGGAAGGCGAAAAGTTTGAAGGATTCGGGTTCATTTATTGAGCAAGTAGTTAACGCTTTCAATGATGGCAGTACTCCCTTGTGACGAAGCAGTGTTCTTCATCGTGGTTTGCCTGGTTAAGCAAGAAAGTTCAAGAAGAAAGCTGAAGAAAGAAATTCTTTTAGAAAATTTTCTCGGATTACTCTTTCGCTATGCTGCCTACACGATTAGTCAGGTGTTCTGCGTTGAAGGTGTTGCATTTACCTTCAAGTTAGTTGTGAGGTCACATTTTACCTGGATTGGGCAAAGTTCCTTTTGTAACGTGGTGGGGAAATTACCGAATGTGGTGAGAAAGTGTTTTATAAAATGATGGCAAAGCTTTTTGGACCCGTTCAAATGGCGCTATGACGTTGAACAGAAGCCCGGTACTTGATCCGTTTGTACTTTCATTCTGTGAAGTAATAGGGTATGGTAAGGAAGGTTCTCCGCGAGGTTGACATTTCTATGAGAGTGTTTTACCCCCTTCCTATTGTTGTTGACTTTGTTACAACAAAACAACTTCTGATTACCTTCTTTTTCAGCTTTGTGGAAAGCTGTGAAGTCGTGCTTATGCCGAATAGGAGCTGCTGTTAAGGAAGCTGTCGACTACGTCGTGAACGGAATCAAAAGGATCGTATTCGGCATTTATAGTTCCATCAAGGAGTTCGTGTTGGGTACTTGTCGTGCCATCAAGAACCTTGTGCTGGGCGTTTGTCGTGCTATCAAGAACTTTGTGCTCGGAACCTGTCGTGCCATCAAGAATCTTGTGCTTGGAACGTGCCGTGCCATCAAAAACTTCGTGGTTGGAACGTGCCGTGCCATCAAGAATTTCGTGCTAGGTACTTGTCGTGCCATCAAAAATTTTGTGCTCGGTACTTGTCGTGCCATCAAGAATTTCGTGGTTGGAACGTGCCGTGCCATCAAAAATTTTTTGTTGGACACTTGGAATCGCTTCAAGAATCTGCTTTGCCGAATGGGAGCATGGTAGGTCATAGGAAAATATGTTGACAATCGTATGAAGTTTTACGTCATTTATGCTCTCGTTTATTTCTAGGATTTCATTGAATATCATCACGCCGACCAAAAATTTCTTCTATGCCGTTGGTCGGTGGTTACGGTATTGGTTCTGTGCGCACTGGTGGCCAGATCTAAAGCTTTGGATAAAGGAAAAGGTATGGTTTTGTAAGATAGTTGATGGTTTACCTTCTTCTCTTTTAAATTTTTATTTCATTTTTTCTCTGATTTCTTGTTTGTTGTTCTTTCTACTTTCTTGTTTATCTCATCACATGCTAGTCCAGCGGTAATGCCGATTTACTCAGATTGGTGGACCACTTCGTCGTGCGTTCAACTATTTCTGTTTTGGTTTGATGTACGTTTTTTGTGGCCATTGGATTCCGCCCTTACGAAAGTGGCTGGGAGCATGGTTACGACGATTCAAAGATTATACTATGATTCAATTACGTCGACTAGGCGGTTTTCTTCATCGAACGGTGGTGGTTCCGACGAAAAGGTGAGCATCAAAGTTTCACTCCCAAGAGCTGAACCTGAAAAAGAAATTTATGAGACCAATGTATTCTTTTGATTCATTTTGAGCGAGCAGTGCAATATATTATGTGCGCATCTGCCGGGGTACATCCAATGAAAAACCTACGCTAAATGAAAAAAGCACTGATAGTACAGGGTACATAAACGCCCACTGTTAAGGGATTAAGGGCGTTTTACAAATAGCAACGCTACTTGTGATTTTTATTTTGTTTCGTTTATACTGATTCTGGCTTCCTTGATATAGTTCTTTTTGAAAACACAATTTTCAAGAAGTTTTCGTTGTAAGCATTGGGTTAGGCGCATTTCGAGCCTTGAGCAGCAGTAGAACAACTTTATAAGCGGATAGATCGAATGTAAATGATTGCTACCAACTGACTGATTGCAAGATTGCCCTATATAATGTGTTGTGTTGAAAAATTCCTTATCTGGGTCGGCTGTTAGTCATGTACAATTGATCCATTGAAAGTGAAAACACTGTATTTTTCTTCGTTGTAGTTTCCTCCGGCAAAAGTTCGACGAGTTCCGCGGCTGGTTGCGCCGATGCTTACATCGTCTCGCAGTTGCCATTCGGTAAGCATAGACTTTTAATACTATTCGAGATTTAACTGTTTCTTGTAAATCTATCCTTGAACATCTGTGTGAGGTAGGGTTTTTGTATTTTTTCAAACATCTTACTGCTTTTTTTCAGTCAAACTCTTCCTTATTATAGTCTTTTGCCAAAGTTTTAATGTTTTCTGATTTGAAGGAATTGGGAGGCATTAACTCAAGAGATTTTTTGTTTGCTGACTCCCCTCTCGACGGTTTTGGACCATTTTTCTTCTTTCTTACCCTTTTCTTTTTACTGGTAATCACCTTTATCACTTTTTTTAATATTAAATAGGGTTGACCAAGAGATTCAGTTATGTATTCCCATTGACTCTGTATTGCTTTTTCATTTTTAGTAGTTTTACAATTTATGCTGAAAATTCTGCGAGATACCATCACCGCGTGGAAGTTTCGTCATTAAATGTGGCGCTTTTAATTGAGGAATTGACTGATAGGCTTTACCTCCTTTACTACTCATAATCAAGCTATGCCCGTAAATACGTCGAACTATTGGTTGAAAGTAAAAGAAGGGAAAAGAAGGAAGATGAAGCATGTAATGAGTATAATTTATCTGCAATGTATACGGTTCCTCTCCCTTCTAACTTTTTTGTTATCTGGAGCAGCCACTTTTCCTCACTTCATCTCGATGTCTGTTCCTTCAAGGGTCTGTCGCCATGCAAGAGAGGGTCATTGACACCTAACGGGGATGAGTGGGACACGACAACCATCCAACACCTATTACGGCCATTTGGTCCGGACTTATTGCATTTTTTAATGCTTTTAAGGCACATTGGCTGTGATATGATTCGATAACCTTTCGAGTAGAAGATATTGATAAGTGAATATTTTGGGTATTTCATCAGAATCCTCGTCATGTTGGTGCTAGTAAAGGTCTCTTGTGGAATGCACGGCACTTTAGCCCTGTAGCTTTGAAAACCCTAAATCATGGTTTGGTGAGAAGGAAACTCAAGGTCCCTAGGCAGTTTTCAAGTACTTTTGTACGCTCTACGTTGCAGAGTGGTATTCCGGCTACTCTTTATGACTCACATTTTTATCTCGTTTTTCGTTAGAGTATCAGTGATTGATAACTCTGCGCCGCCTTTTAGGAAAACTGGGGAGTATTTAAGAGCTGGTTTTGATGCCCTACTATTAACGGTTTTTCAGTAATTTTTATGTTGTCACAAAACCTGATTTCGATGGAGATTTTGTCGTGTCGGATTCTCCCTGTCTTTTGAAACCATGATGAGCTCCAACCTCTTAAAAGTGACTTTTACTAGGAGGAATGCTCCCGATAGACCTATTGAGGCTGTTTTTCTTAGTTTCTTCTGTTTGTGAGAGAGGGAAGGAGGTTCAAATGTGGTCTACCTGTTCAGCTGCCCTTCATTGTTTCGATCGGTAGGGGCTGGTTCTTCGGGAAGCGCAAGTGATGGGAATTTCTTTAAGATGCTTCAACCAATCAAACAAATGTTTTGAACAAAAGGTTACTGCTGAAGTCGTTTTCAATTAGTACCTCTTGTACTCGATTGCTAGCAAATGTCGCTGTAGTAATGCTGACTCAGCAGTCTGTACAGAATAACACATGCGGTTCTTACAGTCCTAGCCCTTGCGGGTCATCTCATCTGATGTGCTTGTTGAGAGTTCTCGTTGTCTTACAGAAGTTTGTTGTGTAACGAACCCAAAATGCCCTCGATACCCCTGCGTGTGCGCCCTAGGATTGGAAAAGCGAGCTGAATTCATTCGGGTTATCTTGGTTTCCGACGGTAAGTCGAGGAGTACGGAGCGAATGAGCTAAAATCTTTGTAGCAGTTGTTATGACTACTTGACTCTTTATTTGTATTTAATGATATTCAATATTTTTATATTATCAGCGTTGATTGACGTCCCTTTTAGTGATTCTGTGCTCTGGCCAATTTGTGTGCTTGTCGTTGATGCGGGCCGGGAATTGAGTCTACTGATGTACCGAGTTCTGCTACAGGTAGCTCAATATTTCCATAGCTTCGGTTTGGAACTATTTTTTGGAGTGAAGTCCTCTTTTTCGCGCGATTCCCAAAAAGGGAATCGTGTATGGAAGAGAATCGTTTGACAATTTCCACGTTTTATCTATTTCTTTTATATCTTAGATATACATCTCACAGAATACCTTGTTTTGGCTGTTTTTAATGACGATTTCTTGTTCATTGGTTGTACAAGATATTTAGGTCTTTTCCTCACTTTGATTTATAAATTCAATTTATTCCTTGAGTATATTAATTGTTTAGCCGGTACTGGATTATGTCTATCAACGATACAAAATCCTTGAAACAGCTATACTCATCTATTTTCTTGGGCCCGTATGCGATACGATTGTTAGGAACATACCTGAGAAGAGTCCCTTCTGCGGTGAGTTTGACAGATTTCTGCTTTTATGACGATTTTTTGTCACCTAGAACTTTCTGATTAATTAAGATTCTTTGACATTGTATTTGAGTCGTTTAATGCGTTTATTTCTCTTTTCACTTCTCAAAACATTAAATGTCATATAATGTTGTATTTTGCTTGGGTTTCTGAGAACCCCGTGTTTCCTTTACGCTTCTTTCTGACTCGGACTGTAAACGCATCTCAATTTTTGTGGAATGCTGAATTTTTGGGTTTGCTCATGCTCTCGATCAGGAATCCAACCGTGCTTTTTCAAATCGATTGCATCCTAGCAGTTCAGCGTAGGGCCTTTGTAACGTAGCGGAGCGGCCGATGGAGCAAGACTTGCTCATTTCCTTTTTTCTTCAGTCGCGACGCTCATTTCGATGTTATAGAACCGCACGCTTCTTCATTTTCTGTGCATCCCTTCGGTAGAAGAGAAAACTGCGGTATCCCTAATAAATGAGATCTTCAAGAGAACCTTCTAGGGTTCAATAACAAGGAAGTGTTGTCTTCGTTCTGTTGAATTCTCTGAAAATAAAGACAATTGATCGTAAGGTTTTAAAAACGCTGTGATTGAACTTTCAAAGAGGCTGTTTCAGATGACAGTGACGTTGAATTGGAAGGTATGCTGCCGGACGAGATCACCGATGAGATCGAGGAGATGGCTATTGCAGGCGAAACCGAGGGCGATGATTCGCTAGGCGACATTGAACCTCCGTCCCCTCTTGATGGTCTGTCACTTTTCCGTTTCATTGGGTAGAACATCCCTATGCTATCCTCATTTTCTAGAAGAAGAACGCGATTTCACCGCTGGTCTCGCATTCCCCACGATTCACGCTTCCGAGTCCAGTGATGAAGAAATTGACCTGAAGGTTAGAAAGAAGCCTGCAACCACAAGGAAGAAGCGTCAAAAAGAAGAAAAACCGGCAGGACCGGCAGATGTTGGCGCGGCACCAGAGCTGCCCATCACTGAAGAAGATTTGGCGCCGGTGCTACCTAGACGTCGCCGCAATGATGCTCAGAATTCGTTCGATGATGAGTTCGAGCTG